CTGAACTCAAGGGAAAGTTTTATTGTACCACTATATGCCTGACAATACTCTATTGAAGTGAATGTTGAACTCTAAGGGAAACAAGAGAAATAGGTCAGAGTGGCAGAAATGAGAATGTTAAGATGAATGTGTGGAAACATGAGAACAGGCAAGATACAAAATGATTGTATATGAGGGGTGATTGATGTAGCACTTGTAGATGAAAAGATGACAAAAAGTATATTAAAGTGGTTTGGACATGTATAAAGAAGGCTCTAGGAGGAACCTGTAGGAACTGAGAAGAGTGGATTCTATGATTTTTAGCCCACTGAAGAGGAGAAGGAAGCCAAGAACATCAGAGGAATTAGTCAAGATGGACCTCGTGATAAATAATATCTTTGACACTTGTTTTTAACTGAATTGAATGGTGTCATGTGATTCATGTAACTGATCTTACCTAGTAGGATAAGGCTTTGTGTATTTTTTTTTTATCATTTATACAATTTATTTATGTTTATATAAAATTCTATTTTTTTTATATATTTATATCTTTTAAAAATTTATATTAATGTAAATGTGTCTTTTAGAATTTAAAAACTCCTAGATCCCGTTCCTCGTACCATATCCATATTCATGTAACTTAGCTAATCAATTCATCCTAACTTGAAATAGATGAAGAAAAATATATTGTGTAGGTGACTGATTCTCTTAATACTGTCTTGCATTATCAATTAGTTCTCTACCCACCCTCCTTATGAAAAAGGGATTCTTGTGTTAAATCATTGTTGCTGTTTTCTATTTCAGTTTGCTTTATATTGCAGTTTGTATGTCATTATATCTGTGAAAATATCATCCAAGATCAGTGTAGCTCAGTCTGCTTAATAGAAATGATAAGCAATTTTATGATTATAGATTTACTTGTTAAAAGGTGGAGTGGCGGACTAACCTGGTAAGTTGGTAAAAGGAAGCATGAATAAAAGCCTAAGAGGTTCCCATGATTATAGATATAATATTCTTGTACTATCCCTTGTTCTTGGAGTTACTGAGGTGTGATGATGGACTTCCAACAAATTGATTATCTTTTCATAACACTTTTTTTATCCCAAATTCTTACTTTTATGATGCATTTTCCTTGTAGATTATAGAAAGGGGACTGATGACTCGAGCTGATTATGTAGAAGCGAGTGAAAAAGCATTATGCTTATTTGAATATGGACAGGTAATAAATCTGTTTGCTTGGTCATTTTCAAATTTGGGAAATAGAGGACACAATTAAAGTTTTTTTTTCACTGTAACCAGTAATATTGCACTTGTAAAATATGATTTTTTTTCCATCTTGCGCTGAGCAAGAAATTAAATAATGTGATAATATATAAGACAGCATTATCTTTTATTTGGGTTCAATTGTAATGTGTTAGGAATTTTCGATTATGTCTGTTCTTCAGTTATAGGGGTATAGTCTTAGGAACCAATGTGTATGCTACCACTAGTGGACAATGTAAAGGTTGTTGCGCTCTGGAAGAGAGTTTAATGATACTCAATGATGTACATGTTCACATATTTTCTTTCAAGTTATGTTATACCTTTGATTATGATATTGGGCAGTTCAAATACCAAGATGGCTTTGCTTATTCTATAGGAAATTATTTCCATATATTTTTCATATTTTGGTTCAGAGTGTTAAATAACCCATATTTAATGGAATAATAATTAGTTAGTTATGCAGTTGAGGGCTGAGGTAATTAGAAAAAGAAGCATGTTGCCTATAAATAAGAAAAAGGGTTGAGAGCGTGAAGCATCTTGTGAATTGTGAAGAAATTCAGATTGTTGTGGGAGAGTCCAGGCCTCTTGAAAATTGTGGGAATCATTTGTACTCTTTTCTGTTAATAGAATTTTTTCTTTCTATATTCTGATCCACAGGGTTATATATTCTACATGAAAGGTCCATAATTTCTAAAATCTTTTATTTTTTTAAAAAATAAAAACGTAAGATGATAATCCCGTTATCCTAGTGCTTTTTCAAGCCTTTCTACATCTCTTAGGAAGCACACAGAGTATAGCCGTACAGGGATGCACCATTCTAGAAAATATAGAAATGTTATATGCAGCTTGGAACAGTTAGCTTGGTTTGTCCCCATGTTCTCTCGTTTTTGTCTTTGCCATGCATAGTAGAGAAGAAATTGAAGTTTGGAACAGGAGCACCATTCCTTAATTTTAAAATTATTCGCATTGTTCTCAAAATTTGTATATGCATGTTATCAGGGAAATGTGATTCTGCAAAAGTTTATTAGTTAAAAAAACACATTATCCAACTTGTATTAATCATTTGATGAAGGCAAGTTGTCAATTCAAAATTTGCGTTAGTATGATGTAATTTGTTTCAAACTTCAGTTATTCTTATGCCAAATCAATTGTAAATGCATTGTTCAATAGCTAAAGTCATCATCATAGTCCAACAGCACTACTATCAATTCAGTCATTGTCATCAGTGATATAATTCAGAAATGCTGCTCTTTGAAAAAGTTTGTAACTTCAAGAGCTGCAGTCCAAACAACTTCCATGTATTTCTACCAACCTCACCTCCTGCTTATGTAAGGGATGGAGGTTTGCATGTAGATCATCGTTGACTAGTGCCCAAATTTTGATTATATGATCTGTTCATCCAAGGTGCATAGTGTTCTCGAATCATTTATTTGACAGCCTCCCTAGATATATAGATGGTTGGTCCATTGATTGGTTACTTAATCCTGTGTGCACAATAAATATATATATCTTTACTACAGCTGTTAATTTATTTTCCCCCCTGCTCTGTTTCACATTTCCATTTAATTGACTTTGCAGCAAGTGGCTTTGGAGCATGGCCTCATATTGGTAGACACTAAGTATGAGTTTGGGAAGGCAAATGATGGTTCAATTATGTTGATCGATGAGGTTCAATGCTATCCCTGATGGATGATGCATACTGGATTCTCACATGCACTCATAGATTAAGTATATAAATGTGATAAAAAAAAAATTTCTTTCCAAACTCCAGGTCCATACTCCTGATTCAAGTAGATATTGGATTGCCGGTTCTTACCTGGAGCGCTTTCAAAATGGTCTCGAGCCCGAAAATATTGACAAGGTGTTTTATGTGTAGTTATCCTTTGTTTTCTTTATAATAAAATGAGCTGTATTTTATTTTATTTTTTTTATGCATGTTTGGTATAGGTTTCTTTTAGGAAAATAGTTTTTTTTTTTCAAAAGATCTCTCAAGTCAAAATAAACTGAACTAAATATGTACTTAGTGGATGAATCTGCTTCCATCTGTTAGCCTATTTTTGATGAAATATAGATACTCAGCAATTTGCTAACTTTTAAGAATCCAATTTTAGGAGTTTTTTCAAAAGATCTCTCAAGTCAAAATAAACTGAACTAAATGTGTACTTAGTGGATGAATCTGCTTCCATCTGTTAGCCTATTTTTGATGAAATATAGATACTCAGCAATTTGCTAACTTTTAAGAATCCAATTTTAGGAGTTCTTGAGGCTGTGGTTTAAAAGTCACTGTAACCCATATGAAGATGAGGTATTTTACATTTTATACTGCTAATGGATTAACATAATTTGTAAAGATGCATAACATCACACTGGTGAATTTTATTTAGGTCCTTCCTGATGCTCCTGAAGATCTTGTTTGTGAATTAGCCTGGCGGTATGTCTACTTTCTTTTACCTAGTTATGCTCTTATTTTTCTTTTTAAGAACCTAGTATAGATTCAAGTGTCACATTTGTAACTGTGTTATGTTTTAGTTCATATATGTACAATAGAAGAATCGTGCCATGTATTGTCCTTTTTTGCTTTTCTCTAATAAAAGAATAAATTCAATTTGGAGGATAAGGGATGCTTAATAATGAAACAAACAAAATTATTTATTTTCAGTTACATGAAAGGTTTCTCTTCAACTTCTTTAGCTATATAGTCTATATTTCATTTGAATGATATATAACAGGTTGAGATTCATTTTTCTTTAAATGCTTCACCAGTACACAAGCAGGAGATTCTCATCTCTCTCTATCTCTTTTGACACAACATATTGTCACATTAGATGATGAGAGGAAAACTTCTTCTCACTAGTATGCATTAAAATGAATAGAGTGATCATGAGTTTCAGTGTCCCACTTTAATTACATGTTTGTCCTATTTATGCTTGTTTACATGCATCTACTTTCTATAAATGAACTTATGCTTGATTTGAATACACTATATTCACCTTATTCATTTAAATTAACATTATGATATTCTGCTTGACAGATACATTTTCTTGTACGAGACTATAACAAAATCAAAGTTTGAGGTGCCATTGACCGAGGTAATCTATAAATATTTTCTGTGAACTATATTATCTAATGCAATCGATAATAATACAACCTTTTTTACTTGCAGGAGCCTATACATGATCGAATTTCACGAAATGTTGCATCTGCACTGTCATCTTTAAAGTAGCCTGGGAATTTTAGTGCCCTCCTGTAGCTCTGTATTTTAATCCCTTACTATAAATTATATTAATAACTTAAATTAATGGAGAACTTTTCCAAACAAGTTTCAATGCTTTTCAAGGCAATCTAGTTTCTAGATTGTCATGAAGACAGTTTTAGAAATTGGACATCTTGGGATTTTATTTTTTTTCCTTTTAAAGAATAATGAGATGTTTCTGAAAGCAGAGCCCAATGTGTCCTTTGCCTTGTATATTTTCCTTGTGACAGTATGAGAATTAATAATTATCTGTTCAGTATGAGGAAGTATTTATGCCTGTTACTACCATCTCATTTCCACCTTTGTTTATCACCCATTCTGCCCTCCGAAGGCAGGGCATATAGGAAAGGTTTCTTGTCTACCAGTCAGTGTGTGTCTATATATATTGGTACACTTTCATGTGCTACAACTATTAATGCTTGCTAGTAATTTCAGTTACGCTTTTTTACAATTTTTACATTAAATTTTTAACTTTGATGGTAACTCAAAAAATTACCTACCTAGAATATCATTGGATTCCACTAGCACCGAAGAGAAATGTCAAGATGATGGTGCACTGAATGGAATATAAGTATTAGATTACCCTAAAATCAATATCTGCTGCTACAACAGCATAATGTTGATCCCCGGCATAGAAACATCCATCCAAATGTTATTTAATTGCATGTGATACTATGCAGGTTCCTCACGTGAGGCCTCAGCTTTACTAGCGCTTTATTATTTTGGAAAGGTAGCGGGAATAAATAGTTTTTCTACTATAATATATTGTATAGCCAATTATAAGGTGGAGACTTTGCAGCAAAAAGAAGATGGAGACAGGCTGGCCCCTTTCTTTTTTTTTTTTTGGGCATACACAATTTTTCTGATTTCATTCGCTTATTTTATTTTTAAATTATCAACAAGAAAATAGCATCGCATTGGGTTTATGATACGATTTGTCTCTGCCTTCGAGGTCAGGGAGTTCCTAGAAAATGAGGAGAAAAAATAGGAGTTTTCTCAACTTCTGACTTCATTCCATTAATTACTGTACTTGCCTGAGGGTACACTCGTAATCTTCTGGGGAATATGAGGACCGAACGAGAGCTTTAGGTGGATTCTTCGGAGGGGGAGGTACCTGCAAAAGATACTCCGATGCTTAAGTCAGTGTGGGCACGATTTTCTAGGGTAATGAATGAACAGTGACATACCTTGTTGTGTGTGACCTATTTATAGCATCTGACATGGGCCTGAGCGTGATGGGCCCTCTCAGATATTTACCAAATTAGGTAATACGGTACTAATTGGTTGTTAGGCTTTAATCATGTACTTACCTTTCTTAATTGTGATTACCGTTATGACTTGTTTAACTCTTCGGCAAGAGGCCGAGCCGACTATTCAATACTAGTCGGAACGGCAAATGACCGAGCCGTCTAGTCCGTATACGGCAGCTTGTATACTTTCCGGTACGATCTATGTCGGAACGGTACTTGACCGAGCCGACTCGATGAGTGATGATGGTCCATATTGGCGTTAACCAGACTGATGTCGGTTCTCGACCTCATGCCGAGCCGACGTTGATGGTGATGCTTGTACGTGGCTTACTATGCATGAGTGTCTGACGAAATGGCACGTGTTGGCCCACGTGACCGATACGGTCTCTCCGGTACACAACACCTTGGATGAACAGATCATATAATCAAAATTTGGGCACTAGTCAACGATGATCTACATGCAAACCTCCATCCCTTACATAAGCAGGAGGTGAGGTTGGTAGAAATACATGGAAGTTGTTTGGACTGCAGCTCTTGAAGTTACAAACTTTTTCAAAGAGCAGCATTTCTGAATTATATCACTGATGACAATGACTGAATTGATAGTAGTGCTGTTGGACTATGATGATGACTTTAGCTATTGAACAATGCATTTACAATTGATTTGGCATAAGAATAACTTTTGTTATGCTCTCTGCCAAAATCATATGAGTACTATGTTGTATGGCAGGGATAGTATTACTCTCAACAATGTGAAGGACAACTTACAATCTAAAGAATTGAAGAGAAGATTGCTGCAAAGTCAATTAAATGGAAATGTGAAACAGAGCAGGGGGGAAAATAAATTAACAGCTGTAGTAAAGATATATATATTTATTGTGCACACAGGATTAAGTAACCAATCAATGGACCAACCATCTATATATCTAGGGAGGCTGTCAAATAAATGATTCGAGAACACTATGCACCTTGGATGAACAGATCATATAATCAAAATTTGGGCACTAGTCAACGATGATCTACATGCAAACCTCCATCTGAAGATCAGCCGAGTCGGGGTGGGGAATCGTCAAGAATTTTTCCTCCCATATCGACTCCCGGGTATTCGTGGGTACATGGTGAAGTTGGTAGTGTATACTCTCGGTATACGAGCAAGAAGTCTCTTGTGGACTTCGTATCGGCCATAAAGTTTTTAAACTTTCCCGAAGATGAAGAACCTTCTGCTATCTTTTTCCAACCGTGCCGAGGTGACGGGGCTTCGAATCCAGACTTCGTTTATTTGAATCAAGGATCGTCCAAATACCCATTCTTTTACGTGTATGATTATATGTTCCGGGATCTGAAGATATCCCTCCCTTTTGACGATTACTTCATGAGTATACTTCGACTTCTTAATGTAGCGCCGAACCAACTTCACCCGAACACCTGGGCCGCTATGCAAGGGTT